AGTAAAGGTAGAAATTAAAGGGATAGAAATGTAATTGCAGAAGGCCGAATGGCAGGATTTCACAAGCTGGCACCATTATTTGAGCTGTCAATTTAGTAGATCCAGTAAGTTGATATTTTCCACACAGTTAGAATCAGGGCAAGGCTCAGTGCCTCATGCCTGTAATCCCAGCACTTTGGGAGGCCGAGGCAGGAAGATCACTTGAGGCCAGGAGTTCGAGACCAGCCTGGGCAATATGGTGAAATCCTGTATCTACAAAAAATACAAAAATTACCTGGGTTTGGTGATATGCACCTATAGTCCCAGCTACTCAGGAGGCTGAGGTGGGAGGATTGCAAGAGCCTGGGATGTCGAGGCTGCAGTGAACTATAATTGTGCCACTGCACTCCAGCCTGGGGGACAGAGTGAGACTCTGTCTCGAAAAAGAAAAAAAAAAATCAGTTCCAAGGTGGTTGATTAGCTATTATTCAAACTCACAAGAGACAACATATTCATTTAGTATGGAGCCAGAAAGTTACCCTGCTATCTGCTACCCATACTATGTCCTTTCCCATACCCACACACTGGGGAAGTCGAATTAGTCATCAAAACGCAGCTTGCTCAGAACTAATTCAAAGCAAAGGGAAGTGGTACTCTTGCAACCTTGGTAGTGGGGATTTGGGAGTTTAATACACCACTGGGGTTCAAGATACTCTGCTACTTACTAGCTATGACCTTGGGCAAGTTACTTACCTGGTAAGCGTCTCAGTTTCCTCATCTAAAAAAAAAATGGGGATAATAGTAGTACCTACTTCATGATGTTGTTTTGAGAATTAAATGAGTTGAGGGAGTGTATAAAGTGCTGTTATCAATACCTAGTACATAGTAAATGCTGTATGTGAGTCCATTTGCATTAGTTGTGAGAGGCATTTCGGGCAAAAATGAAGAAAACTAACTCTCTATGTGCACCTCCCTTTTACGGCCAGATTATTCATATGTGCTGGGTTCCTTGGAAAGATAATTTTCCCTTTTTGTTACAAAGTGGCAAGGTGAAAGGGAAACAGAAAGAGGATAAGTATGCTTCAGGGATAGAAGTCTAAATTCAAGAAATCCATATAGAACATCTCTGCTCTCTGACTTCAATATTTAATTAATTTCAGTGGATTACATTGCTAATACTTCCTAACTGGGTCAACTGGACTTCACCATTGTTCCCTCATCTCTCTGAAACCTGTCTGTGTAAGGAGCTGTGCAAGGTGTCTTACAAATGGAATTGGACAACGGCTTTAGTGCATTCTATAAATTGGATTCTGTACATCTGTAAATTATGCTGACAGGCACTTCTATAACACAATGAGGTCAAAACAGTCTCACTGAAAATGGCCTTTTCATGCTGTATTCAAGCCAAAAACGGGGAAAGCATCATAAAGGTACCATCGCATATGTGCAGGAAAATAAGTTGATAAATTCAATCCAAGACAATGGTTACCTTTCAGCCAATATTAAAGGGACTATGTAATACAAATCTTAAAACATACAGTAATAGGATCTTAATTAAAGATATTTTATGAAGAACCTAACTATGTGAAAATATACTGTGTTACACGCTGTAAAGTATAAGAAAATTATTAAGATACAGTTCATGATTTTAGAGAGTTTGCAGTTTAAAAGAGGGACCAAAATATGCACGCAATTGACTAAAGGAAACAAAACAGAGTATAAATGCCATGAGTCAGAGGCAAAGTTTAGACTGAAAGAACATAGCTGGATTGAATTGATATTCTAAAATTCAATTCATTCATTTAATTGCTGTTTCTGAAGTATGTACCATGTGCCAAGTCATGAGACATAGCTGTTCCCACAAAGGGGTGCTAATATCTATAAACTCAAATTTTTGACTAGTTTCCAGGTTACAAGGTAGAGAGGGGAAATAGCTTCAGCTTTAGAGTTAGAAAAACCTGAACTAAAATCTTGTCCTACCAATGATAAATTGGGTGACTTGGGTAAATAATTTGTCATCTCTTAGCTTCATGTTAGAAATCATAGTGTCATCTTTGATTTCCTCCTCTAACCTCACCCTTCATTTACTTAATGAACACATTAGTCCTTAACTATGTCTGGAATCCATCCCATCCTCTTTAACCCTACACCTTAAGTCCTAACAATAACCCCATCATTTGTTACAGATTCTGTTCTGTAGCCTAACGAATCACTTCTCATTATCCACAAGATGTAAGTCTATCGTTCTTAACAAGGCATTTAAGACTCTCAATGAACTGAATTCTGCTTACATTTTTAACCTCACATGATAATAATACTCCTCCACATGTACTTTACATATCTTTAACTACCAGCCTGTTGTGTGTCTCTGTGCCTCCGTACATGCGATCTTTTTTTTTTTTTTTTTAAAGAGATAGAATCTTGCTTCGTTTAGGCTGGAGTGCAGTGGTGCAATTACTGCAACCTCAAACTCCTGGGCTCAGCAGATCCTCCTACCTCAGCCTCATGAGTAGCTGAGACTACTATTTTATTTTTAATAGAGACGAGGTCTTGCTATCCTGCCCAGGCTGCTCCCAAATTACTGGGCTCAAGTGATCCTCCTGTCTTGTGGGATTACAGGTGTCAGCCACCATGCCCAGCATCTAATGCCATTATTTATATATATGCCGATTGCCTCAACAAGACTAAGCAACTGAGGACAAAGACAAAGCCTTTCACCTTTGAATTCTCAGTCTTAACATAATGCCTGCCATTGAGAAGCTATGCAATAAATATTTATTGTAGTAATGAAGTCATGTTTAGGGATAAGTAGAAAGAACCAAGAAGTGCTTTATGAAGGAGGTAATATTTAATGTTGAACTTGAAAAGCTTTGAAAATATTCCCTGAATTTTAAATGTGCAATTTGGGGATGCTCAGAGTTTTAACATACATAAGTGGGTGTGCATATCCTCATGATGCTCTTCTTTCTTTGTCTCTCTGTCTCTCTCTTTCTTCCTTTCTTTCTTTTGACTGAGTCTTATTGTATGGCCCAGCCTAGAGCAGTGGCGCACTCATAGTTCACTGCAGCTTCGAACCCCTGGGCTCAAGGGTCCTGCTGCCTCAATTTACCCAGAAGCTGGAACTATAAGTGTGCACCACTATGCCCAGCTAATTAAAAAAAAATTGTTTTAGAAATGGGCTCTTTTGGCCGGGCGCGGTGGCTCAAGCCTGTAATCCCAGCACTTTGGGAGGCCGAGACGGGCGGATCACGAGGTCAGGAGATCGAGACCATCCTGGCTAACACGGTGAAACCCCGTCTCTACTAAGAAATACAAAAAATAGCCGGGCGAGGTGGCGGGCACCTGTAGTCCCAGCTACTCAGGAGGAGGCCGGAGAATGGCGTAAACCCGGGAGGCGGAGCTTGCAGTGAGCTGAGATCCGGCCACTGCACTCCAGCCTGGGCTACAGAGCGAGACTCCGTCTCAAAAAAAAAAAAAAGAAAGAAATGGGCTCTTTTTATGTTGCCCAGTCTCGAATTGCTGGCCTCAAGTGATCCTTCCACATAATTGGGATTACAGACATGAGCCTCTACACTTGGCTTAATTCTGTCTTTAAAACACACACATTTTGCCAGCTGAAGCTTTGTCTCTTCTATTCAAAGCCCTAAGTGCAATAGTCTGAGCATGGTGAAGACTTAATAAGTATCTTTATTTCATTTAAAGAAGCATCCTCCTGATGCCTCTTTGAAGAAAAAGACTCTTGATTTCAGGAAGGGTACCATCTTGGTGCCTTATGTGGTATCAAAAATAGTAGGCTTTTTAGCTGGGTGATAGATGGCCTTCCTTATGGCTCTACACTATACCTTTTAGCAAATAGAAATGTTGGTATTCACTCTGTTATTTAATTTATCCTGGACATATTAAAAAATATGTAAGTAAATATACCTTCGAACCACAATGGAAAGCACAAGGCAACCCTGGGCACCTCACTGTTGTTTAATTTAACTCTCCCTAGGTAGATCATATGAGTCCAATTTAAAAGTATTAATGTGGACATCTTTCCACCCTGGATCATGTCCATTTCAGGTTATCAGGGATGGTTAAGCTCCTAGCTATTCTAGCAGATTTCTTATATCTTAATATATGAAATTAACAGTAGTTCCTGGGATATTCCACTATTATCTAACTATTACATGTTTCCACATATTTAAAATACAGAAGGAAAGCATTAACACCAATAAAGAAACTATGAGTAACAGAAATTCAGAACACAGTGAAGAAAGAAAGAAAGAAAATATATACTGCTGCAGTCAGCTTTTAGGAAAACTATTTCCATCATTCTGAACATCATATTTATTAAAAATAAATCTAATTTTGGCAGCATATCATGATTAGGAGCCAGGGAAATTGTCATTGGGACCTCAGTGTTGTGTTTCACAAGAAAGAGAGCTCTGTGAGGAAGCCTGGGCTATCTGCAAATCTTCGACTCTGAAATCCCTGCATAATAAGAAAGGTATTGGCTAAATTCGAGCAGCTCACGCACTATCTAGAGGAAACATTGTTAAGTGGGATAGTGTGGCGTCTAAGATGCAGTTATAGGTATATAGACATGACTCAAGGAGTGGATTAGGAAGGCCAACTTCGGAGGGGAGGGCTGGCTCGCTCATTTCTCTTCTCCCTGTCAAATGCTGAAGGGCTGGTTCCAGCCTTTGAGCGCCCGCACTTCGGGAGTTTTCAGCTGGGTTCTCAGGCTGCATTCACCCGTCGACTTGCTCCAGGCCAAGCCAGATTTTGAAAACGAAGGCAACTTCTTTTTTCGCGGCAAACCCTTGAACCCACGCACTTTCTCACAACTCTGCCCTTCTCAACCCCTGCGCTAGTGTAGGCAGGGCAGAAGGTGCTGAGGAGAGGCTCAGAAGCGGCGGTGGGGACGATCGCCTTTAGAACTGCATTTGTAGCTGCCAAGGAGTAGCCAACAAGCACCAGATTTATGTGCACTTTGAAAGAAGCACCTTCACCATTGGCTTTTTAAGCGGCGCTGTCGCTAGGGAGCGGCTGGTAGAGCGAGCAGCCTCGGGAAGAAGCCCGGGCTGTTTGTTCCCGTCACCTGGGAGAGCAGGCACACACAGTCGCGCGCGCACGGACACACACACACGCACGCACAGACGCTGGTGGCGAGTTCGAGCCCCGCGTCCCCTGTCCGCCCGCGTGCGCCCCTCGGCACGGCTCGCCTCCCGCCCCCTGATTCCTGCTGCTGCCGCCCAGAGGAGAAAGGAACCTCTGCCTCGAATTTCCCCACTGCGCCGGGCGCTGCGGCGAGGGGCGAGGGTGGACGCGAGGCGGAGAACGCGATGAATGAGTTCTCCCCTAGCCTCGGAGTTGTCTGAGTTGGCGGCGCTGCGCCCAGGCTTCCGGCTCTCAGCGCCCCACGCGCGCGTGGCTCCCCGGGCTGCCACTCACGGCCGCGGCCGGGGCCAAGCCAGCCACGCAGGGCAGCCGAGGCTCCGGAGCTCCTGTCCCGGCCCCAGTCCGGGTAAAAGGAGGGTTGTCCCCAGCGGAGGCGCACAGCCGCGCGTTCTCCCCGCACTCTCTCCGCGGTCCCATCTGCTCCCCATGGCGTCTCATCCGCAAACCCGGATCCAGGCTTACCTGGAGAAGAACAAGATCGGTCCCCTGTTTGAGGTAAGGCGCTGTGGAGGAGGGTAGTCCCGTTGTCTTTAGGGGAAGGGGTGCAGTAATGAAAACAGAACACCCCCCCCCACCCCTCCCAGGGAAGGAGGGCTAGAGAACGAACGCGCGGGAGGGGGCGCCCTGGGGTTCACTGGCATTCGCTCTGTCCCGGCCAGGTGTCCTGGAACGCGGCCGGGCGGGCACTTAGCCAGTTACCTGAACGCAGACAGGTGAGCTTGGGAGGGCCCAGCCTCAGCCTGGCAGCGGAAGTTTGAGCCCTCTGACTGTCGTGCACCTCTCAGCCACATGTTCAGTACCCGGGCAGGCTGAAGCAGGCGATGCATACGGATGCACACACTCAGACTGTGTTGCACACACACACTTTCTTTCTTGAATTCACGCTATCTTGCGTGTTCGTGTTGGATTTTCTTTTTTCTTTTTCTTTTCTTTCTTTTTTATTTTTAATGAGGGCGGTAATAAAACCCGAAAAGGCGGAGGAGGTGCTTAGCAGTTAATACGATTAACTGGAAGCAAGCTGAACTGGTGAGGAGTAGGCTTCAGTAGGTGCGGGCGTGATGAATGAAATTGGCAAACTGAGAGACTGCCATTGGTCACTGGACGAAAGGAGAGTCCTTTGCACTGCAGACCCCACATGTGTTAGCAGGAGAAAGGGACAGAGAAAGGTTCTGAAAAGCACACACGTATTTATGGAAGGAGACTATAGCTCTGAGCTGGTGTTTTTTTTTTGTTTTTTGTTTTTTTTTTTTTCCTCGCCATTAAAGAATTGACAAAAATACAGTAGAAGAAAGAGCGGGAGGACACGAGAAAATGAGAACAAGAGATTGAAGCTTGGCACCAGCAAAGCGTCCCGGGGGTTGCCAGGGTGCTGGGCAGGGGTGGGGCGTGCGGGCCGTGGTCAGAAGTGGAGGCCCTTGGGGAGAGACTCCCATGGTCCCATCCAGTTCAGGGGGTACTGACCGGCGGTGAGAGTTAGCGGGAGGGGCGAGGTGCTCCCGCCTTGCCCCCGCCCCCCACGTCTCCCAGAAGCAGTTGTAGCTGTTCTTGGTCTTGGGTGAGGGCTTGGGGTGGGGATCGGGGGAGGTTACGTGTCAGCGTCTGAAAGAGGCAGAATCGCGGCTAGTGGAAGAGGCTGCATTGGAGATCGCGGAGAACCTAGCAAAGACTGAAGAAAAGCAAGTGAGAACTGCGGAGAACAAAAAAATAATGCGAGTTAATGACCCTGCAAAAAAAGGACGAGGAGGACAAAGGTGTGGTCGAATAGGTCTTTCGGGAGGACTGGCTTCACATAACAAGATTTGCAAGATCTCCCAAGTTTTTCTGCCGAACTTTACCGATGATCTGTCTTGGACGATAGGACCATTGTTTCAAGTGAAGCTCACATTGTGGGGTGCAGAGTCTTACAATTGCTTTGATTCTTTTTTCTGCCAAAAATGTGAACAAAGGCAATCCATGCAAGAGCGAAATAAAATTGATGGAGCTACCAGATTTTTTTGCCTTTAGTTTAATGATTATTGATTATACATAATCCTATATAATTTTTTAAAAGGCAGAAGCATAAACCTTCTGCAACGCGGTGTATTAATTGCATCAAAAGAATCATAAAATAAATACATTTAGAATGTGTGTTTGCTCTCTACACTCGTAGAGTATAAAGTACAATTAGCCTGACGGAATAAACTAATTGTTTTTAATAAATACTGTTTTCATTTGTTATTTTAAAATCCTCAAGATTCTTTCCAAGTGATAACAACAAAATTAGGAATATATGTAAACTTTCTGCAGAATTAGAAAATAAACTCAAATGGATATTTATCAAGTACCCCCTAACCCCCACCCTTTAATACTCACCAGCAAGTTCTGCGCTGAAGAATTTTAAGTGACAGCAACATGTCTCATAAAAGCTTTAGGTCCAATCACCAGAAAACAAGCACCACCATGCTTCATATTTTATTGAATACGTATGACATACACTGGCATTAGCTTAGATTGCAGTGGTGAGGAGTGCGTTTTTAAGGTTTGATATTCACTTTAAATAATTGAAGGGAGAAAAATGGATAATAAATTCTCTTTTACTAAAAGCTGGATGTAACAGTTCCTTATGCAACAATTTTGATTACGATAGAGCTTGATTTTGAGAGTACAATTACATATATTTCACAAAACTGGAGGATTTTACTAGCATGTAGCCTATCTTGTTTCATGTTAGAAAACCAGTGAAGAAATGCCGCCTGTGAAATGGACATTGTTTACCTAGGGACTGTTCTCTTCTAGGACCTTACTCAATAGTTTTCACAGGAATTGATTTGGGTCAGAGGAGGCGCCCAGCAATCTGAACATATTAAGAAGCAGCAAAAATGTTTGCTTCAATTTTAATTTCTGGGCCACGTTTTGAGAAACTGAGCTAAAATCTCCATTTACCACTCACAAATTGAAATTGGCAACTCCATGTCTCGTCATCTATGCTTTGTTGTGTTGAGTCAGTGGGAACTGACACAGGCTTCTTTCAGTTTGGAAAATATGCAGTATCTGACAATATGTCCCCCTTGTGGATAGTTTAAGTTAGGAATGTTTTAAGAAAACTTAATTGGTGTGAGGTACTTTAAAGATAATCCATGAATGTTATTTAAAACAATAGCAAAAAGTAACCTATTCACTGATATTGAGAATACTTGTATCCTCTTTTTTACCTGTAGGACTTATTTACCTAGTTTGTTTACTTAGTTTATTTCTTAATTTGTTTATTGCTAATATTTTTTGATTTGAGATGCTTATGAAAGTGTTACATGCAGTATGGAGTTTCAAAAATAATTTTAAATTGAAATTAATTTTGTTTCCAGCTGACTTAGGAGAATAAATTTGTACTACTTTTAAATTTCATTGAAGATATTTTGAAGCATTACAAAACTATGCCTAAGAATCATTGCATTAGAATTCTGGACAATGATATTCTGATTAGATAATAGGTAGGTGTAAGATGAAAAATACATTTCACAAACTTTCCAAGTTTTTTAAGATTTAATCGTTTACATCTTACAAAATATATATTTATGGTATATATAAATACTATATATAGTGGAATATATATATTCCATGTGTGTTTGTATACACACACACACATTTTATATAAAGAAATAGAAACTTTTTAGTTTCTCCCATTCCCATTAAGTAAATAGAATAATTAGTTGAGGATTATTGATTGGAAGGTGCTCAGGGCAGTTATATATCTTGGTCAGGCCTGATCACACTCACAAGAGTGTGAAATCTTAAATTATTAAAAAGCTGAATAGCGGGGATCATCATAAAATCACCATAGAATTTTTAAATCTGTGTACTGAAGATGTGGCAAACCAAAGTCACTACATTTCTCTAAGTGTGTTATGACCCACTCCAAATAGAATGGAATCACTCTATCACCTTCTCTGTTCCACTCAAAGTGCTTCTACTCACATGGTGTAAATTTGCATTAACTAGTTTGGCATATATGTTATGAAGTGGACTTATCAAACTTGTGGTCAAAGCCAGCATCACTTATATATTTTGCTGTTGCCCAGCTAGCTCTTCTCTGGTACCCCGCTGCACATCTTCCAGCCATGTATGCGACCCTGAACTCCGATTTGCTGCCAACCCTCAGCAAGCCTATTATTTCACTTTATTGACCTCCCTGATCATATCTTAAAAATACCTGTTGCTTTTATCAGAGAGCTGTAGTGTGTGTGGAGGTCTCCTTTGGTTGTTCCCCCTCTCATAAGGATCGTGCCCTTGAGCTACCTGTTGTTTAATACATGAAAAGAAATATTTTGTCCTATTTAGGCAGGCTTATGATTGTTTAGGGCAGTGGTTTGGGGATAAGAAGGATACTAGTTACTCACTTATGGCCAGAGGTAAAATTCCTCTCCAGAAAGATATTTTAATATTTAAAAATAAGTTGTCATTAATAAAGGTAAAATGTCATTTTAATAAAAATGATTAGGAAAATGCTTTTATTAGAGAAGCAATGCAATATAAGCTTGGTACTTATAATATGTTCAACTTAAATATTGTAAATATATTTTTTGGAGTAATGATTGTCAGGTGATCTTCCCCAGTGGTTGAGGTTATGAAGACATTTCCTATATCAAAATTTACATTAATCTTTATAATCTCAGAGCATTTAGAGGCAGAAGACAAAGAAAGCAGTTCCATTTTATAAAATTTTGCCCAGAGTCCAAGTTAAGTGTTGTCATTGATTTACTTCAAAACAGTTTTTTAAAATGTTACTTTAATTGACATGTTTCTATTACCAGCCCATTTATTTTTCATTTCTGCCTTAATGTATTTTATTTTCATGCAGCTTTTAAATAGCTTTCAAAGTGACTCAAAATTCAACTCAATAAATAATTCACTATATAACCTTAGAAATAATAATATATACATATACCAATATGGCATCATAACTTTGAAAAAAGAAATAATATTTTGGGCAGGCATGGTGGCTCATGCCTATAATCCCAGTACTTCAGAAGGTTGAGGCAGCTGGATCACTTGAGGTCAGTAATTCGAGACCTAAGACCAGCGTGGCCAACACAGTGAAACCACATCTCTACTAAAAATTCAAAAATTAGCCAGGCATGGCAGTGCACATCTGTAATCGCAGCTCCTCAGGAGGCTGAGGCAGTAGAATCACTTGAACCCAGGAAGTGGAGGTTGCAGTGAGTCAAGACCATGCCATTGCACTCCAGTCTGGGCAACAGAGCGAGACCCCATCATAAAAGAAAGAAATAAATCATATTTTTAATGTTTGTGGATTTTTAATCCACACAAATTTTTAATGTGATCAATGGAAATATTAGACTACAAAAATAACATAGGCTTTCCTACCCCACCTCTTTTCTTTTTTTGGTGATTCAATTAAGAAGCCATGAACCATACAAAGAGAACAGCTAAGACCCATATGACAAGGACAGCTAAGTTGGGAGTTCACCTGGAAAGTATTGGAGCATGATTAAAGAAAG